CCACACTGGGCAGTACTGACAGCACTTCCACCCTGCCCCTGCCGACAGGGCCCATGGACAGCCCAGTCTAGGTGGCCTGAGTCCTGAAATGCTACCTGCCAGGGTGTGGCACACCTAACAGTCTTGACTGTGCTACTCCAAGGGTACACTTTCCTATTCGGCTGCAAACCAGAGCCTGTGTGCCTTCTCTGGAAGGAAAAAGGGCAGAGAGAGACGAGAAGGGAGAACTCATCTGGAGTCACCTTAGGCAGCAGGTAGTGTTAAACCCCGCCCAGCCCTCACAGTACTGAGAAAGAAGGAAGAACACGGTTCAAGGAAAAGACTTGCAGTCCTTCCTGGGAGCACCAGGAAAGGCACTGACAACACAACTGGAACAGAAACACCAGCCAAGCATTTCAAAGAATCGGGTCCTTGTTCAGGAAGTGTAAGGACTGTGATGCAAACCAGCAACTCTTCGCGAGAGGGCAGGGAAATGCACGCTGCACGGATGTGGGGTTAGGCTTCACACGGCTTTATGTTTACGAGATTATTTACAGTTTATGCCCCTAATTTTAAAGATTTAATTGAAAAAATTAAGACACAAAATACACACACACACCTCACAGACTGCACTTTCCTAAGAAAGCATAAGATAGGGTTGGATACCCGGGTGCTAAGGTTACAGTGATTGTGAGCTGCCTGACTGGGTGCGTGGATTTGAACTTAGGTCCTCTGCAGAAACAGTTCATGCCATTAGCTCCCGAGCCAGCTCTCTATTCTCTTAAAAAAAAAAAAAATTTTTTTTTTTAACAGGTGGCCTGGAACTTGGTATGATGTATGTAGAACAGGCTGACTTGGAACTGAAGAGATCCACCATCCTTTGCCTCTTGCCTGCTATGATTAAAGGCATGCACCATTACACCTGAGAGACTAAAAATCTTGCTTGAAGATTTTTTTTAAATGTGTCTATGTGTGCTTGAGGGTGGGCTTGTTCTGTGAGTGATTATACTATTACTTTTAAATTGAGAGTTAATCTTATCTATTAACTGTACTTACCAAGAGAAATGAAGTTAGAAGATTTTACCCAAGTTCTTGGTACTTCATTTAAGTACAACAAATGTGTGTAAACCTACAGCTTTCTCTCTGCCCCCAACCCCCCTTTTAGTGTGTGTGTATGAGAGAGGGGGAATTAAAAGAGAGAAAGAAAACCACACTGTACACATGGAGGTCAAAGGGCAGCTTAGAGAGGCTGGGTTACTTCTTCCATCATGTATGTCTTGGGCCTCAAGCTCAGGTCATGAGGCTTGGTGGCAGGCTCCTTTATCCTGACCCTCTCACCAGCCCTTGGACTGCCACACGTTCCGTCCCTATCACCACTGTGTTGTGCTCTAGCTGGTGACGCTCTCTTCTGTACCCAAGCTCCCCTTCACCCCAACTGTAGCACAGAGCACTGCCTTTTCCACTTGGTCCTAACAGAAACCGACGGCTATGGTTTGGGTTAACTGTGGTCTCTCTGTACAGTACAGGCTAGGCTGGAAGTGTTGGATTGCCCAGGCTCACATGACATTCATGATACTCCGCCTTCCAAAACCCCTTACAATTCCCAAATGGGATTCAGGCACGACCAACTTGCCAGGCTAGACCTTGGGACTTAAATGTCGCCCCAAACTAAAGGCTTAGTTTCTGATCCCATGGTGTTCCTGGGGACTTGGGAAACTTTAGGAGATGGGCAGAAGTGGAAGGACGTTGGTAAATGTGGTGTGATGATTAATACTGATTGTCTGGTTGACAAGTTCAGAGTCCCTCATGGCATGTCTGAGAGATTAGGTTGACTATGGTAAGATGACCTACCCTCGATATAGGTGGTACCATTCCATGGGCTGTGTCCCAGACTGCATTACGAAGGAGAAAGGCGGCTGAGGGCCGGCAATAAGCACTCTTACTTTCAGACTGCAGATGCAGTGTGGCCACTGACCTCCTGTTTGCTGTGACTTTCCCAACCATCAGGGCGCTCACCCTATTTCTGCTATGTTTCTCACCAGCTCTCTGCTGTCATCACCTGACCTCTGACCTCTGCTCAGCACATGGTTCTAAGACTGGACCACATAGTCTTACATCAACTTTTAAAAAGATTTATTCTAAGAAGCACTCTATTCATCTTTATTTTATGTGTGTGAGTGTTTACCTCATATGTGTGCAGTGCCTGCATCAACCAGAAGAAGGTGTTGGACCCCGGAACTGGAGGCGGACATTTGTGAACCTACACGCAGGTGCTGGGAAGGCACGTTCTCTGGAAGAGCAGCACATAATCTTGATCGCTGAGCTGTCCCCTGGCTCTTCAGTCAGGCTGGAGAGGTTTCAGGAAGGTGGACGAGCCATGCCACCCCCTCAACTGCAGTTCGTCCCTACAGGCATCTCTGTCATGTCACCCTTGAGCCTGGCTGTTAGGCTTTCATGGCCCTGATTTGCCTTCCTGTACCTGCACTCAGCTCAAGAAGACTAAGGGAATGAGCTTGCTCAGAACACCCTCCCTTCTTCCCTCCTCTCTCTCCCCCCCTCATACCCATGAACAACTCTGACAGCCCCCTCACTCCTGGGCTCTCCCCAGGCCTTTGCAGCACTCCCCTCTCTCAGACACCGCTACCCATTGTCTTCTTCCCCCCAGGAACCACATCACCTTCATCTCCTATTTACAGATCTCAGTTCAGACTTCACCTTACTCAAAAAGCTTCCTTGAACGACTCAGACCAATTCGGGCGTTCTCTGTGCTCCGACCACTCCTCAGCTCACGTATGCCAATGGAGGTGTGGCCACGCCAAGGAGTGTCTGCATCCTCGTGTCTCCAGCACATCTTAAGAGACTTGTGCTTAGTGGCATTTGCAAGCCCTGAATCTGTCATCGTTTTGTAACTGTTTAACTGGTATGTTTGCACAAACCAAGAGCAAACCCACCACCACAACAGCCTGCTTGGGGCTGGAGAGATAGATCAGGGGTTAAGAGTGATTCCTGTTCTCCCAGAGAACCCAAGTATAGTTTCTTGCTCTAACAACAACCTTCAACTCCAACCCCAGGGGACTGGATGACCTCTTCTGGCACATGCTCACACTGATAACATGTAAATAAAATAAAAGTTTAAATGTGTCTTAGGCTTATTTGTTCAATAGCTTCCCTCTACCACTCACACCCCTAGTAGTTCCAGAGAGCATCGCACAAAGTTCTGAGCGCCTGCGTGGTGGTGATGCAGCCTGGCTGTGCCAGTTGCAAGCACAAGCACGCTGGATGATGCTGGATGTGAAGAGTGAAGGGACCACTGCCCTCGGGAATCCCGTGCAGGGCGCCCCACCCCCAAGCCTCCGTGTGCTAAGACAGTCCTCACTGGTGAGATCTAGTCACCACTGTTCCAACAGTGAACTTGCTTGTTCACTTAAGGATCTTTTTATTTGGTTTAGGACAGAAGTATTTAATAAACAGAATGTTCTAGATCTAGAATTAAATGCCTGGCCCAAGTCAAATTCTATCAATAACCACAGCTATGTTTCATTAAAATAGCTTTTGATAAAGCTTTTTTTTTTTGATAAAGCTCTTTTTTTTACTCTGCAGAATTAGTGTGCAGAGAAACCATTTTTGTTCCGTTTCTGAGTTAAAAAGGAAAGTTATTAAGCATGACATAAGGCCATTTCTATCTTTTTTCCATCTGTTTCAAGGATATAAGTCAATTTGTTTCAGCCTTTACACCCTGCACACCTCCCACTTCCGTCTCTCCCGTGGTCTCCCTCTAGAAGTGCTCTGGCAAAAGCAGCTTTTCTGCTCTTCCCAGGCTCTTCTTTCAAGGTTCTCTTTACAGAGAGTGGCTGCTGTCATTGTTTAACCCCTCTGCAGTGCTGGGAGGATGCTGAACCCCGGCTACAGCCCTGGTCCCTTTTCCCGTGCCTCAAACACTTCTCTGTCCCTTTCATGGGGCTCTTCCTTCTGTCACTCTGATGGTGACCTGTTGTCTCTTCATTTTGCTCCTTCCTGCCTCAGGCCTTCAGGGCATACGGCACATCAACAGCCTGCACCTGGATCTCAGGCCACGGCTGCATGCCCACAGACACCAGCATAAAGTTCCAGCATCCACCTCTTGCTTCACCTAAGTATCTGAGCTGGAAACTGGCTGCAGAAATGGCTGGTGTATGCTGTGTGTTCATACACTCTGCTATAGCTTCATCAGCATTTCCTTATTTATTTCCCCAACAAGTCAAAAGGCAGGACAGAGAAGTAGAGTAATGTGCCCAGGTTACACAGCAAGTGTGGAGCTGCATTCCTGACTCTGCTCTACTCAGGCTGCAACTACAATCCAGAGGTAAAATGTCAAGCTCCTTGCCAGGGCGCCTCCCCGCATCTCAACAGGGAGAGAGCAGTAAATGAAAGAGGAGAAACACACACTACTTGTCTGATGTGTTATCTCTACCATTCCCGAGCACTGCTGCCAGGACCAAGGAGGACTGTCCCACTTTAACTTCCATCCGTCCTGAAAAACAGGCTGCGTTGGCTTGGGCAGCTTTCAGCCATCCATTTCCTAAGGTGAAACAACGCTAGCTGAGCCCACTTGCACAGCTGCCTTTTGCACGTTCTCATTCCATCCCAGAGCTTCCGTCAGGGTTCTTGGGTAATCAATAAACCACCTGAAAGGTACACTCCCGGGACGCAGCAACTCTTCCTCAGAGTACTAAACAGAAAAGACTCAGCAGAGGTCCTCAGAGATCTCCCAGGAGCTAATGATGGGGTGAAAATCTTTTCACTGAGTTGGATATTCGGATAAGCAATGGATGGTGATGACGGACGCCTGGGCCTTACTAAAGGTTCGGGCTGGAGAGATAGCTCTATGGTTCTCTTACAGAGAACCGGGCCCAGTCCCCCAGCACCCACATGGTGGTTCATAATCGTAACTCTAGTTCCAGGATCCAACACCTCTCCTGATCTGAAGGCTCCTAAATGCACACACGCACACATAAAATAAAATCAGCAAATATATTTATCTTTAGGAGACAGCGCGAACGCAGCCCCCCACTACCACAAATTATGCAGTCGAGTTCCCCACATTTGGGGAAATCGCAGGGCTCGGCACATTCGGAGTGCAATGGCTAAGCCTTGCCCTGGGAAAACCACCTTCAAGATCATGGTATCTCCCCAGGCAGGTAAGTATATATATTTTTAAAGTACTAAATGGTGGTAGCTGTTAAATCTTGCAAGAAACTGAAGTTCGTCTCTCTCACTCTATGACCAGAACACCAGAATTTGGTTCTCTTCCTTTACATCACTTGTATAAAATAACAATTTTATTATCATTTTCTGTGGATAAACAGCTATCAGAATTGATCTACAGCATCACAGTTTCATTCTGAAAAGCATCTGCAGAGGGCCTTCTAAATTAGGAAATGTTACTCACATCAGCTTCTCCTACCGAAAATACTGTGATGGTTTAGGATCTGTATGTCAGTTGCTTACCTGATCTATACTTGGTAGTGAAAATTTTAAATTAAAGGATCCTTTTATTAAAGAGTATTTGATTTCTTTTTTTTTTCTTTTAGAAAAAAAAAAAACCCACACTAAAATGAAAGCCCCTATATATAGTACCTGATACAGTATCTGTTGTTAAATGAATTCCTGCCTGTGTGAACACCAAGTGTTATTGGCTCGCAGCTGGCCAGTCACTGCTCTGGAGATAATTATGCCAGCAAGGCTGACTGGCTGCTGCTTAGCTCAGGGGAGGAACATGCTCTCCTACATTCTCCTACAGTGTGAGCTTCCTGGGAGTGTGGTTCCTGTCGTCATTGTTTCTGTATTTTTTTTTTTTTTTGCAAATATAGAAGAATGTGCTTTGCAAAAGACAGCCAGCCAATACAGACGAGAGATGAAAAGCTCCACATTCATCTTAGAATGACTCCGAAGCTCAGACCGAGTCACCAAGTCAGTCAGGCACGTGGTGAGGCCATGAGAAACTGCTGGGGACCAGGAACGAGGAACAGAGTGGCAGACTCAATCAGGAGAGCCAGGAGTGGGGCCACAGAGCCCAGGGACACGTGCAGGCAGAGCAATGCCATTCCCTGTGTCCTGCTTCCACCTGCTGGCAAGGAGAGGAACTGCTTGTAGACTGGGTAAAAACTGCAGGCACCACTAGAAAAAAACGGTAATGGTTGAGTTTCGAAGTTAAACACGCCACAAATTCTGGTGTTTATTCTGGGAAGCCTCTGCTGCCTGACAGACCCAAAAGTACTGTCACATTTTTCTGCCTGTTTGTCAGTGACAGGGAGACAGTGTCTGGACCTATCGGCTGGGTGAGATCTCCTGCTGCTTCCCAGCGCTGTGGTTATCGCGCCCCTTTGCTATAACAAGAGTACGTTAGCATCCGCTGACTAGAGTGAGTGCTGCAGCTTCCACAGTCTCAGCTTGGTCCTTGTCTTCTTTTTAAAGTGCCAGGGCTTGAACCAAGGCCTGCGTGCACTAGGCAAACTTTCTACCACTGAGCTGCACCAGTTGCCAGTCTTGGGTTTCCCCCAACTTCATCCTTCCTTTGGTCCTCTCTAGAAAAATGACTGTGGAAACAGAACCACCCATATGCCAGTATGTATGACTTCCTCCTTCAGAAGGACCTGGACATAGAACACATTACTCCTATGTTACTGCAGGAACGGACAACTGTGCATGTCAATCCCTTCTTCTGACAGTTGATTTTTATTTTTTTAAGAATTAGGTGATATTTTAAAAGTAACATTAAGCCAGGCAGTGGTGGTGCACATCTTTAATCCCAGGACTCAGGAGACAGAAGCAGGAGGTTCTCTGTGAGTTCAAAGCCAGCCTGGTCTACAAGAGCTAGTTCCTGGACAGGTTCCAAAGCTACGGAGAAACCCTGTCTTGAAAAACCACACACACAAAAAAAGTAACATTAGTTTGGATCTGTAATGTAGTAGAAAAGTTTGTTACCAAACTTCATTATAAATAAATGAAAAGATTCTTTGAAATTATCTTTTTTTTAAAAAAAACTGTGAGAATAGAAAATGTTGAAAACTACATATAGTCATGAAACTGAGATCAGTCTGACAGTTGTCGCTGGAAGAAGACAGCTTTCATATTGGTTCATATTACAAAATTACAATAATTAAACAGAAAACTCAGGTTAAGAAAAAGGCAACAAGATAGTAGTAGCCTGACTTCTCCTCATTCTGTGTTTCATACAGACTTAATTACAGGCTCTAGACATTTAATATAAACAAATATGAAAAGATTTATGTGCTTTAAGTTTGGTAAGTGGCCCAAGTCAAGGTGGCTTTGACCACAGAGCGGCGGAGCCAGCACTGCTCTTTTAGTGAAAAGCCCTTGGATAGCTCACCAGGCCAGGCCTAGCCAGGGCACGCTGCCTACCTCAGGAGGCCATTCCACACGCATGGATTGCTGCTGGGGCATTCAATTGGCATTTGGCTCACACTGTTCAGAACTGAAATCCTTAGTAATCACTCAGGAGACTAATTCTCCTCCTGTGCACGGCTCACACACTGATGGCTTCTGAATGTGTCGTCTATGTATGAGTACTTAATTGCTGAACTGCTTTCCAATATGGATTCAACTGCTAATAAGTGTTTGTTTTGACATGTGACAATGGCATTGAGGTTTTGTGGTTTTGAAAAACTATTTTCTTTCTTAGTGCTACAGATTGAAACAGCTTTAGTGGTGGCTCTGCTTAGAAACACTGGAGGAGGAAGTAGCATAAAAACATGGGTCGGGAGCTGACAGTCTTGAAGCATGCGGGGAGGTTCATTACATAATTCATCATAGAAAATTTATACAAAAAGTAGCTTTCTTTCTATATTTACCTGAATATTTTTATTGGTTGAGCACTTTATACCTGCCTGCATATAATATACTTTAAACATATTCACCCTAATAAAAAGGTTTTATACATTTAAATATATTTAGTCACAGCCATACCATACTGAACACGACCAATCTCACTTAAAATATATTTAGTGCTGGGCGGTGTTGGTGCACGCCTTTAATCCCAGCACTCGGGAGGCAGAGACAGGCGGATCTCTGTGAGTTCGAGGCCAGCCTGGTCTATAAGAGCTTGTTCCAGGCCAGGCTCCAAAACTTCAGAGAAACCCTGTCTTGAAAAACAAAAAAATAAAAAAAAATTAAAAAACACATATATTTAGCAATTAGCAATTATTAATGTTCCTAGTTCTAGTGGTCAGAAAATATATGGACTCCAAATTAACATACTCAAACTGACAAGCTATTCAAAGACATAATGGGGAAACCATATAGAAGAGTAGACTATGAATATAGTAAGAAAAAAGAGAAGTGACCAGCAACATCAGATCTCCAAGAATTCTCAGCCTAGACTTACGCGTCTTCTTTTACCGCAAGGAGTGCAGAGCATACTGAAAATGGAATACTGATGTGGTGACAAGTCTCAAGCCTGAGTTTGCGACTTGTGAGCACAGCAATCAGAGAGCCAGCAGGTTGCGTCATTTAGCTACCAGCTCCTCTTGCTGCTGCTTCTGCGTGCCAACCCCTGCTATCCCGGCTATGAATAGGAACAATAATGTCAAGTATTTATGTAGCAGGCACTATAAAAACCTTCTGTGAACTTCTCTCAACAACACCGACACAGACCTTACTATACCATCATTTCAGGTAAGATGACTCAGGCTGCCCAGAGGGGGCGCAGCTAAGCATTAAACTGTGCAGGCAGTCACACCGTCCCCTTGGCCTCGCTCTTCAGCACTTGCTCATCTTCAGCACTTGCTTCTTCTTTTCATCCTCGTGTGTCGCTTTTGGTGGACAGGCAGTGACACAATCAGAGGGCTGGTCTGGCACAGTAAGCCTGGACACCACCATCCTCACTGACACTACATGATCAACAGTGGGAAATGAAGGCGGCCACAACGCCTTCCATTTCTAGAGCACATTGAGAAGCTTGGCAAACTGATTTTAGACATTTTGATGGCTTATACTTTAAAAGCCTGCTTTTTAAAGCAGGGAAGAGAGTATCCTAGCCAATAAAAGATAAAAAGCAGCCTATAAAAAGAACCTTCCCAACAAAGATGAAAGACGACTAATTTACCCAACATAGCTCTTTAGATTTAGAAGATCATTCAGGCCAAGGAAAGCACCTCTGAAATGTGTGCTCACGTTAAGTGCTTCTATTCATTATCTCAATTACTTTTCCCTCTGCAGATGAAGAAACCGAGGCGGAAAATGCTGAGTTAATCATCCCCAAGATGAAGTGAGCAGCGTATGTGAGCTGAGCAAGGCGGTCTCATTCCAAGCTGAACTCCAGCCATTTACTAAACCGCCTCTTTCAACCTGAACATGCTGTTTAGCTTTCTCTGCCAGCCTGGTCTGATTCTACTGCCTACAGCAGCAGCACATGATAGGGTTCCGTGAAGGCGAGAGGAGAGGGGAAACCGGAGTGAAGAGGCTTCTGCTTTTGCAAGGACACGCCATAGTGGCAGTCACCAGGCTGAAATTCAGAAGTAGGTTGGAATGGGTCTTTCTTTCCCTTTTGGGGTAGTGGTGGGAAGGTTGCATTAATCTTCAATGTATTTGGTTGGTGATGCCAGCAATGTCCGAGTGAGAAGTGAAGTGGCCATCTGGAACTCAGGGGAAAATGAGTACAGACCTGAGCTGGCTTTCCAGCGCCTGTGGGGACCGTGTAATGTCATGCCAGAGAGCTAAGCTAGCAGTTCCACCTCTGCTCTCAGCACTTTGGAGGCTAGACAGCCTGTGCTAACAGTGAGTTCCAGGCCAGCCTGGGCTTCAGAGTCATCCATTTCCAACAAGCAAGCACACAAGCAGAGAACCTTTGCTGAGGGCCTGGGAAGGAACTGCACTCTGCTAAGCACTCTGGGAGCTGAATTTGAAGGACAAGAGAGACCCTCTAGTAAATCACAGTAATTTAGATAAACAACAAAAATTAAAAGGAGCAGTAGTAGAAAAAAATAGATTAGGAAATAATCCAGTGATTTAAAAAAGTGGCAGGATTTTGTAAAAGTCGAAATGCTACAGAGTGGGCTGGCAAGTGACGTAGGCTTTGGGGGACAACTAGATAGGTGTCAGATGTGATTTTGTGCTCAGGTGCCTATGAGAGACTGGGGCATGCAAGTGTGGTGATTTAAAGATTTCTTATCTATAGTGTATGTGTGC